TCTACCAAAGTGGTTACTTAAATTATTGTTAATGAAAATCGGAATTATAGGAATTGTATTTGTCTTTTAGCTTACAGCAGAAGTATTATTATTATTTTCTGTCATTTATAATATTTATTGCTAACATGGCTGCTCTGACTTTTGGGGCAGATCTACCATCATGTGACGGGGAGGTATGCAGCGTACCATGACCTTCCAATGGCGTGAATGGCCAAGAAACATGTGGGCAAAAAAGCTGAAGGAAGAAATGGGAGACTTAATGAATACCTCATTAGAAACGTGTATCCTCAGGACTTGATTGGACTATTCTAAGATAGCCCTTCCCGCCAGTGTTTGCCAAATCTCTCCATTTGAGGCCTTAGGAGAGGCAAGAGAGTCATCCAGAAAGAGTAAATGTATGTCCTGTCCACATTCCTACACTCTCATGATACGGTACTCCTTCGTGCCTTCGCTCTTATGAGACGGCACTACTTCCCACAATTGTTCTGAAGAGATGGCGCTCCTTCCCACCTTCGCTCTGATGAGACAGCGCTCCTTCCCAGCTTCACTCTGATGAGATGGTGCTCCTTCCCACCTACGCTCTGATGAGACGGCGCTCCTTCTTACCTTCGCTCTGATGAGACTGCGCTCCTTCCCACCTTCGCTCTGATGTGACGGCGCTCCTTCCCACCTTCGCTCTGATGAGATGATGATGCTTCGCTCTGATGAGACGGCGCTCCTTCCCACCTTCGCTCTGATGTGACGGCTCTCCTTCCCACCTTCGCTCTGATGAGATGGTGCTCCTTCCCACCTTCGCTCTGATGAGATGGTGCTCCTTCCCACCATCGTTCTGATGTGACGGCGCTCCTTCCCACCTTCGCTCTGATGAGACGGCGCTCCTTCCCACCTTCGCTCTGATGAGACGGCGCTCCTTCACTCTGATGAGACAACACTGCTTCCTTCCTGCGCTCTTATGCAACAGCACTTCTTCCTGCTTTCAATCTCAGTGGAGTGTGACTGAGGTGACCCCTGAATTCCCATCATTCCAGAGCTACAGTCCCCATCAGTACTGTTTCCAGGAAAAAAACATGATTGGCTGTTATCCACTGCGGTGTTCATGTGACATTTTAGCATGTAATTGGGGAGGGACTTCCTTTTTTCTGTTGTTAATTTGTGTGCTTGTAATAGGTATTTAGCACTTGGAATGGTTGTCAAACTAAATCTAAACATGATTGATCAGTAAACGGATTATTTTCTCCCACCTCTTCTGATCTGTTCTGATATCATTCAATCTTCAGCAGAACGTTTTTTTAACCTTCCTGGCGGTAATCCCGAGTGTGGATCGGGGTTAATTTTCATTACCAAAAGCGGTAACCTCGAGCCACACTCAGGATTACACAGCGCGTTACTTACATGTCCACGATCCCCGCTGTGTCCTCCGGCCGATGCCGTCTTCCGGGTTCCGTCCCTTGCGAGCGTCCGCGTCGCAGGGGGGCGGAACCGGCAGGAAGTTTAAAAGAAAAAAAACAAAAAAGGGAATAATACCCGCCAGGGAGGGTAAAGCAGCTACAGGAAACTCTGACATGCAACAGTTTCTGTGAACCAAACTCATTTCATGCACTGATGACTTCAACATATTTCACACAGTGTGTGCGCTATGCAGGTGTGTGCGGAGGTGCCATACACAGTGTGTGTGTGGAACATTGATGTGTTATACAAGGTGGTTGTGATGTATTGGTATGCTGCATAAAGTGTATGTGAGTGCGTCCTAGGTGGTGGGGTCAGTATATGTGTGTCATATGTACATTTACAGTATGTACTGTGAGTGCAGTAAGTCGGGATGTTGTGTAATGTGGGGGCAATACGATGGGATGTTGCATGCTATAGACGTGATATGTAGAGATGTTATATGCTGTGGGCTCGGTGCTTCGGAATGTTATATATATTGTAGATGCCGTATGTTGGAATGTTGTACACTGTTTGTTCAGTTCGTGAGGAATGTTATATGCTGTGTGTTGTGGTAAGTTAGGTTGTTATATATTGTGGGTGCGGTATGTTGGAATGCTGTACACTGTGTGTTCTGTATGTGAGGAATGTTGTATGCTACGTGTTGCATGTCAGGATGTTATATGCTGCGTGTTGTTGTATGTCAGGATGTTATATGCTGCGTGTTGTTGTATGTCAGGATGTTATATGCTGCGTGTTGTTGTATGTTGGGATGTTATATAATGTGGTTGCAGTACATGTGTTTCACCAATTGTATTCAGTTCCATCTTAGGGTCAGGTTGAATATTTCTCCCTTATTTATTGCTTATGTTTAGTGAAGCTTCCATCTCATCCAGGAGGAAATTACACAGAAAGTCACCCAGTGGTCACTTACACGATACATATAGAAGGGCGGCCTGGGGATGAATTGATGTTTGCAGAAGAGAAGCACCAAACATACAATGCTGCAATTTATTTTATGAATAAATGACTCTCTAATGACATCACTTTGCTAGAGCTACAGAAGAAAATGCAGCAGTGATGGGTGAGATCTTCTCTCAAGTGCTCTATATACTGCTTGTGTCCCCATTGAAACTCCTCGGCTTCTTTCACCTTGTCTTATGGCAGATTGCACAACTCTCCTCTCGGGGAAGAGAATTTCCCATATCTGCTCTTTCTCACATAAATACAATTCACTGGCACTCGTGTCCCTCAGCGATAAGATGAAATTGGAACAGATAACATCTAGGTATGAATGTGATCAATCTAGATCTGTCTGTATAAAGCTTGTGTGGCTAATGTCTGACAGACCAATGTCCCACCCCCTTGCCCTAGACTAGGAAAGCTTGGGATGCTATACTGGACCTTATGTCATTGACATCTGCTCTGCAGGCCACATCCATATTATGGCGTCTTACAGGCATACAGCCCCTATACTTTGTCCAGCCTTTCCTTCTGATTGATATGTAAGGTGATATATGCATGTAGACAGTTCCTCTATGTATTCAGCAGTATGCAGTCTCATCAAAGCCTTGATTATTCCTACGGAGAATGCACCAGGACCCATCATAAAGTGTTTGGGGGTCCTTTCTAGAACCTTGTCTCTAAAAAGGCTCTGCATTGAAACCTGTCTTGGCTGTGACCCAAGTCTGCCAAACTGAGACTAGGCTAGGCCATCAGAAGCTATCTGATCAATATGGCAATTTGTTTACAGAGCATCTAGAGCTCATGCCTGCAGCCTTGAACTTTAGTGTTGGTGGGTTGTTAGAGGTCTCCATCTTCTCTTTATGAGCCTCCTGTCAGTGAACATGAGGAAGACTCTGGCTTAAATGTTGGTCTGTGGAATCCACATGCAAAAGGCATCTGCTTTGCACGGGCTTTGAGCTACACCATCTTTTTGGAGCTGCCCTGGACACCCCCATCAAGGATGTCACCAGGGGCCAATGTACCCATCTACCCCAACAGAAGAAGCGTGGTGTTCAGTCTGGGAAAGCTCACCCCTTCTCTAGGGACAGGAAGAGTTCCTTTCATTACTTCCAAGCCTTAACCTCCAAAGCCAATATAGCCCATACTGTCAAGACCTTGCAGAGGTTCAACTGGGTCCTGCACCTTTAAAAGTCAGTGCTGGAACCAACTCATTCTTTGAAATATCTGATATCTTATCCTAGATACAGCTCAAGCCAAAAATGTAATTCCAGAGTAACTTTAGGCTTTCCAATGCCAGACGGCATGAGCTGATTTGGAGATGATAGTAGCCTCCTTTTTTGAGTCAGTCTCATTTGCCCAGTTCCATTCCAGACCTATACAACATAACATTCTGTCATAGAACAAGTCAGTCCAGTCCTTGGACAGGCCAGTTCATCTGTTGGGGGAAGTCTGTCCTTCTGATCTCTTGACAGCCTCTCCTGGGGGGATGGGTGGTGTTAGGATTAGAGATTGGGATAGGTGTTACTTAGGCGTCAGGGGTGAGATTCAGTTGTGGTTGAGGAATAAGGGTTATGGCTGGGTTAGGGAGAGGTGTCAGGCTAAGGTTAGGGTTGTGTGGGGGTCAGGGGTAAGATTCAGTTTTGGTCTAGTTGGTTTATTTGCTGGTTAGGGAGAAGTATTGGGCTAAAATAATAATTGGGCTATGCTAAGGGGTCATGGGTGAGATTGAGTTGAGGTTGGGGGGATTAGAGTTATGGCTGGGGTAGGGTTAGGGGTAGACTGTGCACAAGGGTGGGATTAATTTGTGTTTGGGGGTTTAGGGTGATGGCTAGATTAGGGTTAAGGGGGGTTAAAGCAATTAGGGTTAGTGTGTGCATAGGAGTCAAAGGTGTGAATAAGTTGTGGAGGGATTAGGGCTATGGATGGGTTAGGAAGAGGTTTTAGGCTTAGGCTGTGCATGTGGGTCCTGGAGGAATTTTAAACGTGGCTGGGAATTAGGGTATGGTTAGGTTAGAGAGATTTTAGGGCTCAGATTAGGTTAAGGTTGTGCATAGGGGTGAGGGGTGATTTTCAGTTAAGGGATTATAGTTATGGCTGGGTTAGAGGGTGGTTAGAGAGAGGTTTCAGGATGAGATCATGATTATGCTGTGTATAGGGAGACAGGGATGATATTTAGTTGTGACTGGGGATTAGGGCTATGCGCTGGGTTAGAGGGAGTTAAGGGAAATGTTTTAGGCTGAGATTAGGGTTAGGCTGTGCATAGGGGTCAAAGGTGAAATTCAGTTGTGGCTGGGGGATTAGGGTTATTGCTGGGTTAGGGAAAGGTTTTTAGACTCAGGCTAGGGCTACTCTGTACAGGGGTCACATTTTAGTTGAGATTGGAAGATTAAGGTTTTGGATGGGTTAGGGGCAGGTTAGCGTGAGGTTTCATGCTCAGATTAGAGTTGGGGTCAGGGATGAAATTCAGTTGTGTTTGTGGGGTGAAGAGTTATGGCCTTTCAGGGTTAAGTGCTGGCTGAGGAGAGCTTTTACGCTGAGAATAGGGTCAGATCCAATTTTACTTGCACGGTTAAGGTTATAGCTGGGTTAGGGGCTGGTTAGGGTAATGTCTCAGGTTAAATATGGGGTTAGTCCATGTTTAGGGGCCAGTGGTGAGATTCAGTTGTAGTTGGGGGAATGAGTGTTATGGCTGGGGTAGAATTAGGTTTATGAGCAGGATAAGGGTAGAATTAGAGTTGGGCTGCGTGAGATCAAGTTGTGCTTGGGGGTTTAGGGTTATGGCTTGGTTATTTTGAGGGGTTAGGGGTATAGCTGGGTAATTCGGGTTATGGCTGGGGTAGAATTAGTTTTATGAGCAGGATAAGTTTAG